TCTTATTTTTTATTTTGCACATAAATTTACAATGACATTATCAAATCTCACAATGCCCAGCGATATTTCAGCAGCCGTCATGTTTATTTACATTGGATATTGTAGTTCCGGTCAGTGTTGTAATTAATACGCTAAGAATGGTGTCTCGTGCGGCATGGTAATTAAAGTCCCATCAACGACACAGCTTTCAAAGAGGCTATATAGTGACAATGGCATGCAAATGTAAATATTCTATTGTGACAGTCAATCCACAGTTTAAAATTTATTTTTGATCATGTGTTCTTTTATTCTTTGACCTATCACAGCGCCATGTAATGCAACTCAGGTGACCGTTGAAGCCTAGTAAAACCTTGTACATTAAGTTCAATAACATGTTTTCTCAATATATACATGTTATCGTCCCTGGTGCAGTGTATAAAACTCGATGAATATAGCTGATAGTTGGACTTTGCGATTGTATCTCTTTCAGATATGTTATTGGTGTTTTGGGGCTTCATTTTCACCAAAGACTGAGTGTGCAAAATCATATCACCCTTAAGCTTCCCCTGCTTGGGTATGGCACCTGTATGTATTGTGTAATACAGACCTTATGTAAATACGCAGAAAAATATTAAACAATTAGAATTAAAAACTCTCACAATTGAAGTAGGATTTTTAAACAATATAAATGGATCCCTTATACTATATACAGCCTATTCTTACGCACCATGACATTGTTATTGTAAAATTGTTTCCCGCAAAGTATTTAACCAGAATAAACAACTTAATATCAAGCACCGTGTTTTTATGTTTACTGTACATATAAGGCTTTATCTACAACATTCACAGCATGCTCCATCGTAAGACCTGGTGTTGTATGACATTGTCCGTTCGTTAACATAGTATTACTTTGTCTCTGCCTTTTGTGTATTTAATAGATACAAGACAGTATGGCGTTATTTAGGGACAAAAGATAATACCTAGTTATATTTCTTGCAAAAAATGCAGATACCAATTTTATACCGATGTCTCTCGATGGTACCTGATTACTTAGTCCCTTTTACTAAACGTAGTCAATATGCCATACTTACTGTACTATATGTCGAATTTCTAACCGTTTACCCCGCATCATATCATAGCACATAATACTGCTCTTTTGCAACTGGGTTATCGTGACCTGCACTTACAATGAAATTATGTCAATGACGTATTGTTTTACTTCGGAACACTGAATTAAGTGTTCCTGTAAAGAAGTATCATTGTTGTAACACACTGGCTCGATCAATGTAACACACTATACATTTGTGTTAACCTCTTTAACCTATAGGACTTATTACAAACACTGTGGACCAGATCATCAGTGACATTTAACCAGAATCACTTTAAAACCAACCCTTGGAGGTGCATGGCTACTGACCTCTTGTTTAAAGAACATTGCCAGAATACTTCAACGTTATATACACTTACCTGTATGTATATATAGAGGATGCATGGGATATCGTTATATACACTTACCTGTATGCATATATAGAGGATGCTTGGGATATCGTTATACACACTTACCTGTATGCCTATATAGAGGATGCTTTGGATATCGTTATATTCACTTTCCTGTATGCATATATAGACGATGCTTGGGATATCCTTATATTCACTTACCTGTATGCCTCTATAGAGGATGCTTGTTATATCGTTATATTCACTTACCTGTATGCCTATATAGAGGATGCTTTGGATATCGTTATATACACTTACCCGTATGTATATATAGAGGATGCTTGGGATATCGTTATATACACTTACCTGTATGTATTTATAGAGGATGCTTGGGATATCGTTATATACACTTACCTGTATGCATATATAGAGGATGTTTGGGATATCGGCATTGTCACTATTTCCTAAGACGGATTCCTAAACGATAAAAACAAAAAAATAACTTTTGACAAATATTTTTAACGATCTTTGACAAATTATTTTATTGTAATCGTAAATTATGCTAATATACTGTCTTTTATTTAGATAAAACAGAGTATTTGTGCTCCCCGGCAGGACAATGTTTTGGAGCATAATGTCGTTTTGTCCGTCAGGGTTTCCCTGTGTCCGAAACAAATGGTTTCCTATGGTGCGACAGGAGGAGGAGGCTATCGGTTTTGGGATAAATAAAGGCCGATAAATAAATCCAAGGTCAGGTTAGGGTTTGCAATAAAAAGGCTTAAGTGTTTTGAACTTGTTGGGTTTCCGGAGGCTATATCTTGAGCGATACAACATGAAAATAAAGAATACCAAGTTGTCAATAAAACCGAAATTCGAACAAAACATTGATAAAACTAGAGCATAATGAACAAAAGAGAGATTAACGTGAAGACAGGGAGAAAAAGACCAAGTGTTCCGGAAGGTTATACGCCCTGTGCTTCAAAAACGACATCTGTCATTTAGAGTAAGTTAAAATAAGTAACGTCTCGTCCGCGAGGAGAGAAATAACAACTAACGAACAGAATCGAAAACATCGACCTTCATACCACAGACAAAATAGCCTATTTCCCTTTGAGATCATCTTGGCGACATTAAGAGTTGTTTACAATGTCCATCAACCTGCCTCTCTGGAAGCACTTTCTATAAGTACGTTAGCTAGTCGTCGAGTTTAAAGACTCTAGTACTCATATGACCTAGTTTAAACAAAGCGTAGCCGATACTCGTTTTTTCGGTTCGATTCCTCATTTCGAACTTTATAACAACCACGCTTCACTGGAAATTTGTCTGTTGAAGGTTACAGGGTACGTCACTGATAGTTTGTCTGTTGAAGGTTACAGGGTACGTCGCTGGTTGTTTGTCTGTTGAAGGTTACAGGGTACATCACTGGCAATTTGTCTGTTGAAGGTTACAGGGTACGTCACTGGTATTTGTCTGTTGAAGGTTACGGGGTACGTCACTGTTAGTTTGTCTGTTGAAGGTTACGGGGTAATGTCGCTGGTATTTGTCTGTTGAAGGTTACAGGGTACGTCACTGGTAGTTTGTCTGTTGAAGGTTACGGGGTAATGTCGCTGGTATTTGTCTGTTGAAGGTTACGGGGTACGTCACTGGTAGTTTGTCTGTTGAAGGTTACAGGATACGTCACTGGCAATTTGTCTGTTGAAGATTACAGGGTAAGTCACTGATATATTGTCTGTTGAAGATTAAGGGGTAAGTCACTGATATATTGTCTGTTGAAGGTTACAGGGTACACTGATATATTGTCTGTTGAAGGTTACGGGGTAAGTCACTGATATATTGTCTGTTGAAGGTTACAGGGTACACTGATATATTGTCTGTTGAAGGTTACGGGGTATGTCACTGATATATTGTCTGTTGAAGGTTACGGGGTACGTACACAGTAGTGCACCGTACCAGTCATTGAATTGTCACACATAAACACTTACCTGGTTGTGCTTTATAAACCTTTCTACAAAGCATATGGTTTTGGATATTTTTTTTTGTAGATAGTCACTTACCTGATATTAGAGATATCTCACATGTGGTACATGTACATTCGAGATCGTGGTTGGCGACGGAAACTTTGTCAATGATACATCGTGAATGTATGGCTCAATTTCCGCTCCAAGTCCCTATGCAAATACTTACTAATGATAATAGTGATAGCGTGATTTATATATACAAAGGGTATTTCATTCATTAATCTTTGTTCTGATTAAATAACTATATGATATTGTAAACCATTACATTGTTTCTATATGTCGACATCAGCTACGCATATGTAGTGGTACACACTCACACGGGCTCTGTCCTTTATTATTTATAAAACACAGCACGACACATATATATTTCTTATGATCAGTAGTCTTTTTAGCCGGTACCATGTCAGAAACAAGTTTTGGTTTTACTGACCACGGTCTCTATCCGATGACCGCGTAGAGTGAGAACTTAAAGTGTTGATATAACGTGTAAAGTTTTGTATAACTACTGTTACTGAGTATTGGGACGAATTGGAGGGCTAATCTATACTGCTGTACATGTCGATGAAACAGTTTTATTACCTGCGTCTGACTTATTTGTTCTGTTGACGGTAAAATGCAATAACGTATATAGCTAGTACATTGTATATGACTTCTGGTCGATCCCTTAATTACTAGATATGTAAAATATAACAGTTCCCCGATCGGACGTTAAAAGGTATGGTGTCACCTGCCCGATCTGGTGGTTTTTCTCCGGGTTCTCCGGTTTCCTCCCCCATGTAAGCTTTTCAAGTGCTAACATCCGGGCCATCCATAGTGATTATTTATTATTATCATATATAGATATAAGTTGAAATAACTTGTTTTATAATTGTTGTAAAATAAATGTTTTACTAGATATGTCACCCAAGACAGGCCCTTAAACACTCAAATTAACATAGGTTTTTGGCAGAGTTTGTCATGAGAACGTGATCCATGTGAACAATGATTGATGGAAAAGTTATATATATTGACATTTTGTAGATTTTTTGACGATATTTGTTTGCTATTTTTGCTTGATAACGGCATGGTAAAATGGAAATGCAAATTTGCGGCACGGCACATTTACGTACATGAAAATAAGCGCATTCAATTAGAATTTACCTGGAAATGACAGGTCGGATAACTGTTATACAGTAAAGTTAATTTTGAATAGCAAAGACGTACAATAAACCGAGGAAAGACAGTACATTTTAACATCATTTGTATTGATGCTACATGTATCATTGACCTGATATAGAGGTCCTTGACATAGGTTTAAACACACAACACGATACATTGATAAGTCCCATTGTTGGATGTCGCACTTTGATGTTGTAGCTTGAAGGATATACAGGTCAATAATTAATTTCTACCACAACTTATATAGATTGCGACTACATGTATGCGTATTTCACTTGGAATTTGACTTGACCCAGAGGTAAAATCGAATTTATATACCGTATGTTTGATCGCTATAAGTCAGATGAAATACATTCTTAATTGTTAATTATCTTTGAACAGGTATTTATGAATGGTGTTATTTTTCAGGTGGAACGGTGGACATCACTGTGCACAAGGTCCGGGATGATGGGACACTGAAGGAGCTGGACCGTGCCAGTGGTGGCGCCTGGGGTGGCACACAAGTGGATGAAGCCTTCAAACAGATGATCATCAAGATCGTCGGCAACCCAACCATGCAACAGTTTTGCCACGAGCAAACTTCAGACTTTGTAGATATGTTTAGAGAGTTCGAGACAAAAAAACGATGCAGTCTTGAAGATACTTTATCAAAAAAAGTCACAATGAAAATTCCTATTGCATTGAAAGAACTTTTTGAGGACGAAACAGAGGAAGATATCAAAGACGTTGTCAGGCAAAGTAGTTATGCTGGCAAACTTGAGTGGATTGGTGACAAAATTCGGATAGCACCAGATACATTCCAGTCTTTGTTTAACTGTGCTATAACGGACACGGTGAGTCACATTCAGGATCTTCTCAGCAAACCGTCTTGTGAGGGTACAAAAACTATCATCATGGTCGGGGGGTTCTCAGAGTCCCCTCTCTTACAGAGAGGTATTCGCGAAGCCTTTCCACAGATGAGAATTGTCATTCCTTACGAGTGTGGCCTTTCCGTTTTGAAAGGGGCTGTGATATTTGGACATCGCCCAAAGACAATTTCAGCCCGAAAGGCTAAATGTACTTATGGCATTTCCACAAACAAGAAATTTAAACCATCAAGACACGATCATAGCAAGAAAAAGACCGTGAACGGCGTTGATTACTGCACAGAACTGTTCGACAAACATGTGAGAGTGGGCACTACTCTGAAGATAGGACAGGCCCAGAGCGACCAGAAATACAACCCCTTATACGAGAATCAAACCTGCCTTGATTTCCCTGTGTACCAGTCCTCTGAAGAGGACCCTGACTACGTCACTGATGGGAGCTGTACATACATGGGCAACATGTCTGTCACCATACCAGACACGGCGGTGGGCACCGATAAAAGTGTCCGGGTCAAGATGATCTTTGGTGGCACAGAGTTAAAACTAGAGGCAATACAAGAAAGCACAGGGAAGGTAACGGAAGCCAAATTCAACTTTCTAGGAGATTAATATTTGTGAATATACATTGTTAACGACTTTAACATTATTTTTCTTATATTTTAATTTGACGTGTTTAATGAACATATCGCCTGTTAATTGCGTTGGCGGATGGAAATGATTTCATCAATACAAATGTATAATATGCTGATGTTATCTTACAAATAAAAATATAGTCTCTTATCATAATTATATGTGTTCATGATACGGGTTGTTCAGTCTGTGCATACTATTAGCTGTACAAAGGTAATTTCCCGGGCCGACCCGTATCTGTCAGACACGTCATATCCATTCTCTATGCGCCATATCTGCCCAGCAAGCGCCATATCTGTCCAGCAAGCGCCATATCTGTTTCACGTCCATTTGAACATAAAAACACGTCTCATTTACTTCTGATTTCTGTTATCATTAAAAATTGTGATTACGTTCTCATCATTACAATTGTAATATGGCTATTTCTATATCCTTCTTCGTATTTCACCCGTCGGGCCATCGGCCCCTCGTACTGGTATGTTTATACGGGAAATGGTATGGGATTAATACGGGAAATGATATGGGGAATAGTCATGTGATAACCTGCACCTATGCACAAAATATGACACTATAGAAATGGGCTTACATGTAGCAAGACAAAGGATGATATCAGATGTAAATTGCTTTGTTACTGTAACATACTTGTTAAAGACTCATTGAAGATTCTGTACATGGTCACATTCACACTTTCCATTCAAACATATTTTGTACATCTGTATTTCCAATTGGTTTTGATGTTCATACATAAACTTAAGAAACTGGGCAATACAATACGGAAAACTGTTTAATAAATCAAAGTTTTCTTGTCTTGATGTGTTTTGTGTTTTTGTAAACTGAATTGAAGGGATGTATTCTTAGCAATCATAACTCAACACAGACACCACTATAAACTGTACGATTAAGTGATGATAAACTGATATTGCACAGTGAGGGATCATTTCTGTAAAAAAAAGTCTGCTTTTGTTCCAGGAGGCCGCCAAATGCTTGTAAATCTATTTTCATGTAAAAATAATTACGTTATTGTAAGAAAACCCACAATTCCAACTCAAAATCAGTGGAGAAAAGCAAATGAACGAATTCCGAAGCGTAAACTTAGCTATAATACAAGCTAAAAATAACGCAAGTAGTCCAAAATGTGCAAAACAAATAAACATTAAACTGAAACCCTTGAAAAAGTTACAAGGGCAATTAAGCTAGGGTTCGTACTCGTGACAACGTGCTCGTGTTCAAGCATAGTTTCTGTCCTCAAACAACGGTCCAAACACAGTCATAAAGTCAAGACTAAACAACGGTCCAAACACAGTCATGAAGTCAAGACTAAACAACAGTCCAAACACAGTCATAAAGTCAAGACTAAACAACGGTCCGAACACAGTCATAAAGTCAGGACTAAACAACGGTCCAAACACAGTCATAAAGTCAGCACTAAACAACGGCCCAAATACAGTCATAAAGTCAGCACGAAACAACACAGTCATAAAGTCAAGCCTAAACAACGGTCCGAACACAGTTATAAAGTCAGGACTAAACAGCGGTCCAAACACAGTCATACTAAACAACGGTCCAAACGCAGTCATAAAGTCAAGACTAAACAACCGTCCGAACACAGTCATAAAGTCAGGACCAAACAACGGTCCAAACACAGCCATAAAGTCAAGACTAAACAACCGCCCGAACACAGTCATAAAGTCAGTACTAAACATCGGTCCAAACATAGTCATCAAGTCAGGACTAAAAAACGGTTCAAACACAGTCATAAGTCAGCACGAAACAACGGCCCAAACACAGTCATAAAGTCAGCACTAAACATCGGTCCAAACACAGTCATCAAGTCAGGACTAAACAACGGTTCAAACACAGTCATAAGTCAGCACGAAACAACGGCCCAAACACAGTCATAAAGTCAGCACTAAACAACGGTCCAAACAGTCATAAAGTCAGGACCAAACAACGGTCCAAACACAGTCATAAAGTCAGGACTAAACAACGGCCCAAACACAGTCATAAAGTCACCACTAAACATCGGTCCAAACACAGTCATCAAGTCAGGACTAAAAAACGGTTCAAACACAGTCATAAGTCAGCACGAAACAACGGTCCAAACACAGTCATGAAGTCAGGACTAAACAACGGTCCAAACACAGTCATAAAGTTAGGACTAAACATCGGTCCAAACACAGTCATTAAGTCAGGACTAAACAACGGTCCAAACACAGTCATAAAGTCAAGACTAAACAACGGTCCGAACACAGTCATCAAGTCAGCACTAAACAACTGTCCAAACACAGTCATAAAGTCAGGACTAAACAACAGTCCAAACACAGTCATGAAGTCAGCACTAAACAACGGTCCAAACACAGTCATAAAGTCAGGACTAAACAACGGTCCAAACACAGTCATAAAGTCAGGACTAAACAACGGTCCAAACACAGTCATAAATCAGGACTAAACAACGGCCCAAACACAGTCATAAAGTCAGGACTAAACAACGGTCCAAATACAGTCATGAAGTCAGCACTAAACAACGATCCAAACACAGTCATAAAGTCAGGACTAAACAACGGTCCAAACACAGTCATAAAGTCAGGACTGAACAACGGTCCAAACACAGTCATAAAGTAAGGACTTACCAACGGTCCAAACACAGTCATGA